CATACAATTTGAAGAGTCAATCACCAAGGTACTGGGATTGTGTTGGCATCAATCAACCGACACCTTCAGGTACAAATCAAGAGACTTCAACACATCGACCATCACAAAGAGAATAGTATCATCAGAGGTGGCTCAGATATTTGATCCTCTAGGCTTCCTCGCTCCTGTAATAGTCCAGGGAAAAATATTACTTCAAGACCTGTGGAAACTCAAGGTAAATTGGGATGATCCACTCCCAGCTGACTATCAAGCACGCTGGAGAACATTCAGAGAGGAACTCACCGCCCTGAACAGGATTACAGTACCAAGATGGTTAAGAATCTCACCAAGAGCATCCAATATCCAGATTCATGGATTTGCAGATGCCTCCAACGTAGCGATGAGCGCTGTCGTCTACATAAGAACTGAGACATTCAACGAGCAAAAATCAACGGTCATGGTAGCAGCAAAAACCAAGGTAGCACCCATCAAGCGCATGACAATCCCACGTCTTGAATTAACAGCAGCGCTGCTTCTGACTCAACTAGTGGCTACATCTCTTCAGATGCTGAAACTCAACAGTGAGCAAATAGAAATTCACCTATGGTCCGACTCATCGGTGGCCCTAGCCTGGATCAGAAGTCAAGCACACCGATGGAAAGACTTTGTGCACAACAGAGTCATCAAAATCCAAGAAACGATACCACAGGCCATTTGGAGACATGTCAGCGGGAAGGAAAACCCGGCTGACTGTGCCTCCAGAGGCATATCAACCAGCAAGCTAGCAGATCATCAACTGTGGTGGGCAGGACCTGCCTGGATCAATCAGGATCCAGCAGAATGGCCACAATCAACAATAGATACTGCAGCCATGACCATCCCAGAAGTGGCTAAGGAAGCAAAACCACTGCCAGCAAATCCAGTCACCATGAAGATCAACGAAATAACACAAATACTAAACAGATACTCAACCATGTCAAAACTCCTGGCAGTAACAGCCACGATCAACAGAGCAATTGATCGATTCCAGAGAGAACCAACGCCCCCGGGGCCAATACTGACAACGAGAGAACTCAACGATGCAAGATTATTCTGGGTAAAAGTTACCCAATGCCAATATTTCTCAGCAGCCGTTCGAAAACTTCAACGGCATCAACAGCTCCCAAGAAATCATCAACTGGCGACACTAACGCCAACCATAGACAATCAAGGTCTTATGAGACTTGGCGGGCGCCTCAACAATTCGAACCTCAACCCAGAAGAAAAACACCCACTAATCTTGCCACGTCAGTCGAGGCTCACAACACTAATCATCGAAGAAGCTCACCGAAAAACGCTGCATGGAGGAACCCAACAAACACTGGCCTACA